CATCATTGTCTCAATTATCAGCGTGAGTGAGAGAGATATACCTGTACATCAACATACATATACTACCACTACTGCATCTCTCTCTCTCTCTCTCTCTCTCTCTCTCTCTCTCTCTCTATATATATATATATATATATATATATATATATATATAATGGTATGATCGATACTTGTATGACGCGTCATTCTTTAGCTAACATACAAAAAAACCTGCTACAATTTCTGCTTCTGATACTTGTCACGGTGATGCATACTTACATTGGTATTCGGTAATGTTGTTAGGTGCAATATTAGCACGTTTAAGTTAATGTTTAGAGAGTCAAATTCCATTTTAAAATATGAAAATTTTTAGTTCGAATATGAATGATAAATGGCATTTGATTTGATGTCATGCGGAATGAAATATGCAGCAGTACGCTTCTCTCTATACATGGGTAGAAAGTATATTAGAATTCCGCGTTTGTGTAATAATAGTTAGATTATTTCATGTTAATTAATTTTATGTTAAAATCTTAATAAGACATCGGAATGAAAGTCTAATTTTTTTTCATTATTGTCTTGAAAAAAAAAATATTTTTCATTACGAATTTGTGAGTAAAAAAATATTACTTAATCTCATAAGTTTGGTTGGTGGACAACAAATTTTATTGAAGGGGATGGAATTTTTTTCTTTTTTAACATGAAACCATGGGAGAGACTCAACCCAGAACTTTCCCCGTTATTTGTTGTTTTGTGATGTGTTTGATTACTTTATTATTAATATGGAATTTATGGAAAATTATAACATGAGGAAAAGTTTTCATTAAATTATGATTTCAAATGAATTTCAACCTTCATAGAATGTTTATTCAAAAGAGGGTATATTAAAAAGTTAGGTACAACTTACAAGCAATTTTCTATATTCAAACATATATTGAAAAACGTATTTAAATTTTCCTCCTAAGTTTTTTACCTTAGTTACTGCGTAAATTTAGTTTATTATGAATAAATGAAAAGAACTATCAATCTGATCTCTATATTTGATTTCAAGTATTTAATCTTCATAAAAAGTTCGTAAATGTGAACTAATTACAATTGCATTTTTTTTTATCAAAGACTGGTTTGTGTCATAATCACAACATTGTTAAAAATATCAAAGTTTTATTGATGTGGTTGGTGTACGACAATGGCACATGACGAAAAGAATCAAGGTGATTTTACTTTCGAATTTAGTACATGAAAAATAGGATTTTTAGTTTAAACACAACGTTTATTAATACAATGTTGTATTTTTGTTTGACTTTGTTAATTCGTCATTATTTATGTAGATAAGAAAGTTAGTGAAGATAAATACGGACAAAATCTATTAAGAACATTTTCAATGGAGTCGCTAATATGAGTTATTTAAAAATAAGAATAATATTTTATTATGAGTTCTTGTATTTGAATTGTTTAAAATTAAATAGAGTTGTTTAAATTGAGAAAAAAATTAATTACATAAATTATTCTAACCAAATTTTAAGTAATTGATGTGTGGAATCTATAATAAAATATTTATATTTATTTTTAAATAAATTTTACTAATGTCCTAACTAATAATCCAATAAATTTACAATTTAATTATAATATTAAAATAACATTGTTAATATTTTATTTGTTACACCAACGCCATGTTCTACAGTCTCACATTTTACTCTATTTCTTTATTTTTATTTGTTTTTTCTTATTACATTTCTAAACTTTTTTTTTCGTTATTTTTATTTTCTAGTAAATGAGGTAATTTTGTTTTTAACTTTTGAAGAACTTATAAAATTAAATTAAAACCGTTATGATATTGTCTTGTCACTAAATCTATAATAATTTAAAAGAAAATACATATTGTCTTTGTCACTAAATGTTAAATATTAATTCATCTGTCTTATGTTAAAGATACTAATTTTATTAATGATTACATCAATAATAAATTTTTTAATCATCATTAACAGAAAATTTTTATTTTATTAAAAGAAAATCTTAACTAGATGAGTAAAACCTTTTTCAGTAGAGTAGATAATTTTGTTTAAGATACTAAAAAGAATAAAAATTTTGTATTTTTTTTATATCGAAACTATAATACCTACCATAAATAGTATTAAATTAAAAAAAATACTGATGCTCTTCGCTTTCAATTAATCATAATTATTTGTTAATGTCTCTAAATAAATTATATCAGTGTTTAGAATAGATAAAAGTAATGCATTTAAAAATAAAGTTACTTTAATAATATTGTTTCAAAAAATGTATTTTTTTTATTCATAATATGTGTGAGAAGTTCATTTTAGGATTAAGAAATATTCAATTGATTTAAATTTCGACAAAAATTTCTGTAACCATTATAATGCATTAATTACAAGTATAACTATTGTTCAAAAACATATATATATATATATATATATATATATATATATATATATATAATTTTAAAGATGGAATAAATAAAATAATTTAAAAAAAGCTTCAACAATAAAAAAATAAAATGTGTGGAAGAACTTAAAATTCATCTCTCCATTTACACTAAAATAAGGTTGTTTGTTATCAATACAACATATTTTTTATACTATATTGATTATTTTATTAATATCTTCACAGAATTGTATATAAAAGAGGAAAAAAAAAAACCAAGAACATAATAATTTCACATGAGCATGTCTCAGTATCATTTCAAAATAATGATTTTATTATAGTCTATAATAACAGTTACCTATACATTTTTTTAAATGGTTTTCTATTTTTATTTATAATCAATATTTTCATTAATAATTACTTGTTTTTATTATTATAAAATTATAATTATTTTTCAACTTTCAACACTATTCCTAATATAACTTTTTTGTTTAGAATAATTTTTAAAACAAAAATTATTATTTTACAACTCAAAATTTTAAGTTGTCTAATGATTATTTGATTTATAAATAATGATTATGCTTTTCGAAAATATAATTATTAAATCATTTTTTCTTTTTATTTTAAAAATGATTTTTTAAATTTAATCTCTACAACTATTTTAAAAACTTAAAACAGAAAACTAAATAAAATCCTAATAAACTTCCAACATAATCTACAATGAGAAACTTTTATCCATGATTCTATCTGTAATTTATAAATCATAAAGTATGGGTATAAAAGAATGAGAAAACAATATTTTGAGGTATTATTATTTGAAAATAAAAAAAGTGAGATGAATGAAGTTTCCAATTGAATTAAGAAGCGAATTAATGAAAGGCTGTGGCAGCAAATCCAGTTTCCCAAAGAAGCCATTTTTCTCTCCCACACGTTTTCCCAAAGTAATGGTTTTCACTGTTGAAATATTAATTTTTGAAGCATTGAAAGTGTCACCAAGTGGCTTCTATGGTGGGTTGAAGGAAAGCTGCCATGATCACAGTGAGTGAGCACGAAAATGGCTGCTTACAGAGGCTGCTGCTCTCTGTGTCAAACTTGTCATCTTTGTGTGAAAATCAGGTGCCACGCACGTGCACCCTAAATTCCGCCAACCCAGATGCATATATAATTTATAAAGCTTGAGGGAAAAATACTATTATTCCATTTACTACTACACTTTGATTAAAATTATTATAAAATGGAAAATGTTATTTTTTTATCAAATATATTTTTTATATAATAATTATACTAAATATTCATATTTAGTATTAGTAAAATTTATTATTTAATTTTCATATATTATTAATTATTCTAATAAATTTTAATAATTACTGTTATAAAAATAATTATTCAATTTTTATATATTATTAAGTAATCTAATAAATTTTTAATAATCACTATTATAGAAATACTTTTATATTATATGTAATATTTTTAAAATTATACTGAATGGGTAAATATGTGAAATCTATAAATATTTTTAAACGATGATAAAAGTTACTATTTACTGTCAATTATAATAAAAATTATAAATATAAAATATATTAAAAAATAAAATAAATAAAAATTAATATAAGAAAAAAATAATAAAATAATTATTATTTAAAATTAATGTAATTAATAGAAGATTAAAAAAATTATCTTTTATAACAAAATTACATTAAAAAAATAATCTTTACTTTTATTTTTTTATTAGAGCAGTTGAACCAAGTAGTTTAATCTAGTTTGCAAATCATTGATTACATGGATCATGGATGTGGATTTAAATATTATAGTAAAAATAATTTATTAATATATTACATAAAATTCATTAAGGAGAGACTTGGTTAGCGTGACTACTCTCTAAATAGTACATTTCCAGAGTCTGTTTTTAGTTTCTTAATTAATTAATATAATCACTAGATATTTAGTTCTCCAAAATTATTTGATATTCAATACGTTTTAAATATTTTGTTCAATTTAAATTATTTAATAAAATATATTTATTATTTTCAACTCCTATAAATGAATTTTTCATTATAAAATGAATATCTAAAATAAATTTTATGTATCACTTAATTGATTACAAAAAGGGTTTGCCCATCTTTGTGTATATATGTGAGCAAGTACTGCATCTACTTTTTTTTTTAAAAAAGAAAAACTTATATAAAACAAATATAAAATAATTTTTAATAATTTTTGCACTAAATACTTTCTAAAATCTTTATTTTTATTGTATTATGAAGTAGAGTTGTAAAGACACATGATTATTGAGGAAGAGTTAATAATTTTTTCATAAATAAAAAAATAGAGAGAAAAGAAGCATAGAACTATTTAACATTGACTATTTTTTTAAACACTTTGTTAGAACCAAGGTCCCATTCCATTTATGAAACTGTTTTGTACAAAGCTAGTGAAGCTTGAGTAGTTAGAAAAGCGTATGCTCCTAGGATACAAAATTGCATGTACATGCCAGCAAAAGAGAGGGGTAAAAAGGGAATAACAAAAAATTAAAATTAAAATAAAAACTAGCCTAATTGCACAGACTAATTCCTAACTTCGTATTTCTCCTTTTCTCCATTTTTTTTTCTCAATAAATAAAAAAAGTCAGCATTTTTTTTTTCCTATGAAGTGAGAAGGATGATATGGGAATTGCATTGCTTCTTGTTCTCTGCGGTTCTCCACTGTGCGGCTATGTCTTCAGCGATCTTGATTGCATCACAGGACGTTCCTTGAATACCTCTTCTCGTGAACCCCACCGTATACAATCCCTGCTCCCCTTTCCATCCATGGGGAAAGGGCGTTTTCGGCATTCCATCCTCCGTGAAAAAATCACACCCCTAAAATCATAAAAAAAAAAACTAAACTTTCCATTCATACGATAAAAAAATAAAAAAAAATTCCCATGTCATAAAGAGAATTATCCATGCATGCATCCAACAGAAAGAATTTGATTAGTACTTAATTTGAAGCAAAAGGAACTGAACAAAAAGGTGGCACAGTTTACTACTCAGGTTGTTCTCAAATTATATATATATATATATATTATTTATAAACCCTTTAATTATGTAACAGCTACTTGAAGAAATGAGTAAATAATTACACATATATTTGATGATGTTTCACATCAGAAAAACGTCACAGTGAGAGCAGAGTTATTTTAATGTGAAATGAAATGTTTTTGTTTTGAAGAAAAGCAGAGGCTAGGAACTGATTTTATTCTTGATCTTTGGAATGAAGAAAAGAAGAGATTTGTAGGTTTGTGGTCTCTGCATGTGTCCCAAGCAAAGACAGTGACATGTCATGAGTGGTTCATGATAATAAGATAGAGCTAAAAACGCAACACAACAGATCAAATTCTAACCTTGAGCCAAGTAGGCACGTTGCTCTTGTACCCTGTTGCCAAGATTATAGCATCGAATTCCTTTTCTTGTCCATCCATAAATTTGGCTCCATTTCTTGTTATCTCCTTCACACCCTCCATCACCTGCACAACCCCATCCAATGTCATTACCCTCGATGAATTTTCAAAATTCTTCTGAACCAACAAAATGGGGTCACCTTATTTTCTTACCTTTATGTTCCCACATTTGATTTGTGCCACTTGACCCACATCAAGGACTGGGGTTCTCCCTGTGGCTAGTTTCAGCTCTATTGGGCCTGTTTTGGGCCTTTTGATGCCATAGTGATTGGTGTTTCCCAACATGAAGTTGGTCACAAGCAAGAGGATTTTGTCTACTATCTTGATCGGAAACCACTTGAAGAGTGCCATGGCTATGCCAAAAGTTGAGAAGCCAAACATCTCTCTAGGAAGAACATGCACCTTGCATCATTTAAACCATGCAACAAAGTCAGCAAAGACCATACTCCCCCAAAGTTGATCATTCGTTACCCAAATGGGAAAAAAACATAAATGACGTCAATTTCAGTCGTCAATAGTCGCACACTCGTTATTAACACTAAAACCACCCGTTTAACCAAAAGGGAAAAAAGAAAAAGAAACACTTCTTTAGTCCATTAACAAAAAGTGACTTTATCCATGTTTTTTAACCAAAATTGAAAATTTCACTTCACTACTTGGTAAAAACTTACACAGGTCACCCAAATGAAAAAAATAACATGAGTGACAGTTTAAAAAAGTATTACCCAAATGTGTTATGATTAGTCCTTGTTCTTTACATGATAGTGCGATACATTAAAAGGGGAATTTTTTTATAAACAGAAGTATATAGAATGAAATCTTTAACCGTTACAGAAATTCTTTCAATTAAGTTGTGTCAAAATCTGTGTTGTAGAAGTTTATGTTTTACCTTGCAAACACATTGGTTGGATTCATATTTGTGTCAGGTGTTAATGAAATATTTTTAGTAGAAATGAGGGTGAGTGAACTTACTGTATTCCTTGCAACCATGTAAGGTGAGGCATTGTATCTACAAAGGTCCAAGCTAACTTCCATTCCTGAATTGCCACACCCAATGACCAAAACCTTCTGGTTTCTGTACTCAGAGCCAGACTTGTAGACACTAGTGTGAGCAATGGAGCCAGAAAAGTGCTCCATCCCATGAATTCTAGGAACCACAGGCTCAGCATTCTCACCAGTGGCCACCACAAGCCAGCGAGACACAAGCTCACACTCCTGAGTCCTAACCACCCAAAGCTGTGAGCCTTTATCAAACTCAGCACTCTCCACAGTTTGGTTGAACCTGGGGTGGATGTTGAAGTGTGAGGCATAGGACTCCATGTAGGATATAAACTGGTACTTGGTGGGGTACTTGGGGAAAGTGTGGGGAAAACCCTTCAAGGGAAGCTCACAAAACTGCTTTGGGAGGTGGAGTTTGAGACGGTTGTAGGTTTTGTCTTGCCAAAGAGAAACTATGCAATTGCTTCTCTCAAGAATCACGAAAGGGACTTTGTGCTCTGAGAGACACGCAGCCACGGCTAGGCCCGAAGGCCCGGCACCTATGATGATAGGCCCATGAACATGTTCCTGTTGGGGTTTGCAAGAACCCATGTAGAGAGGATAGGTTTGTTTGTGCGTTGTAGGGAGAGAAAAAAGTAACAACAACAAGAACAAAACAAGAGCAACAACAAAAGGTGAGAGTTTTGAAGTGGCGACTGAAAAGTGAAGCCAAACCTCGGTTTCTTGTGGGAATTTAAAGAGTGTGTGAAGTGGGGAAGTGGGAAAGTGAAATCTTAATAAATAAAAAAATGAAAAATATTTTAATGCATGAAAATAAAATAAAATAGAGAGAGAGAGTGTTTGATTTTTGTTTTTCTTCTCTTGTTATGGAGGCGTGAAGGTTAAGGAAAGGATTTGATTCTCTTTCCCTCGAGGCTGTTTCTTCTTGTTTCTAGGCAAAGTGTGTGTGTGTGTGTGTGTGAGAGAAGTGATAGGGGAAAATGGGTGACAATGAAATATTATATATACAGAGAGAGAATACGTTTAAACGTAATATTTGATTTTTGATGTGTTTGGATGAATAAACAAAGAAATGAAATTATGATATGTAGAAGACAAGAGAAAAAGAAAAAATGGATTTTGAAAAAAATGTTTTTATTACGGGAATGAATATTGAATGCAGCTAGAGCTAGGTAGGCACTCGCACATCATACGATTAAATTTTTGTCTTGTTTTTTAACTTTGTCACGCTTTGTCAGGACTCTGTAGTTTCTGTGGCCCCCTTTTATTTTTCAATTAACAACTTGTATTCTATCTAGGACTATCCTCCCACCACTTTTCAATAACTCTAATTTCAAAAATTACAACAAAGAAACTATTATAATTATAATTTTTTTACTTTTTTATTTTTTTACTTGGGTGAAGGTAAAAATATTCTTGCTTTGGTAGCTGTGATTATATGACTGCACAAGGTACGATTTCTATAGTCATACTAATAGTGTGCATGTGTATGCTGGATTAAAGTAAGTTTAATAGTGATGAAATAATGTTAGAGTGTGGAGTATTGAATTAAATTTTATATTTTTTTAATACTTGGTTTTGATAAAATACTTTGATTTAAACTAATAAGATTGTCAGCTAATTCTTTTTTCCATTTTATTTAATAAAATATTTTTTATTTCTTAAATTACGCTGCTCCATTTCAATTTATCTGCAATTTAAAACTTCTACTCATAGATTAGAACAATATAAATTCACACATTTTTTTATACAATTTTACTAAATACAATCTCTATAATATCTAAATCGATATTCAGTAAACTTGTACAATTACAAAAATATATATCGTAGATATTATTGTTGTTAAAAACAACGTATTTTTCAATTATAACAGAATATAATATATAACAATTATTCAAATAATAATATCATATTAATATATAATATTATTTTAAAATTAATCTCAATATAATATAATATTATATGTAAACATGAATTTACAACACTATTTAAATATATATATATATATATATATATATAATAACAATGAAAATAATAATTTATATAAATAACTATTAAAAATAGAATAATATGTAATTTATTTTTATAAAATCGACTTAGTATAACAGTGTGGTGGCACATGGATATTGGAGGCATTGAAGGTTCCATTGGTGGTGGGGTTAAGGTGGAAGAAGAAGGAGCCGATGGAGAGGAGAGATTCTGAGTGAATATGGAACGCAGAATGATTTTATAAAAATGAGCTGCTGCATGCTGGGAAACACCGTGGATGCTTTCTTTGCGCGACAACCGTCCCTTTTTTATTCTTCATCAATCCCTAAATTCACTATCAAATTTCTTCATATTAAGTCCCACATCGATGCAATATAACTTCATTCTTGGGATTCCATTTTTCTTTATATTAATTGCTTTTTTTTTTCATTTTATTTATTTTAGATAGCAAATTAAATTTATAAAACTTCTTTTTTTGTTTCTCACTTTCTATTTGACTTTTATTCCTTTTTTTTTTTATCTCTTAATCTTATGAAACATATAACTTTCCTTAATATTTTTTTAATTAATCTTATTAAACATAAAAGTTATTATTCCTATATGTTTAAGATGAACTAAATGTAGTGGTAGGATGATTTTCTCTAATTTATTTTATCTATACTAACAAGTTTTTTTAGTTCAAAGATAATTTTGTCTAAGTAATTGGATTCTAGTGATGAATAGATAACGGAAATATTCTCTTGCATTATTAACTTTATATATATATATATATATATATATATATATATATATATATATATATATATATATATATATATATTAATGACGAGTCTAAAAGGAACCTTTTGGAGCAAAATCCAATAAACACAAATTTGTTGTCTTCCCCTTGCATTAATGCATTTAAAAATGTTCAAAACCTTTAAACTCCCTCAAGACAAAAGAAAGAAACAAAAAGTTGGCTTTTAGATATTTGTTTTTGAATTTTAGTTAATAAGTTCAATTATTTTATATATATATTTAAATTATTTTCATTTTGAACTACCAAGAATTTTTAATTAATGCTCCTTAGTATTTTACATTATTTCTTTTAAATGATTTCAAAAATGTTTTTTTATTATTATTTATATGGAACGAATTTGTTTTATTTGCATTCACTTGTTTCACGAATATTAGGCTACATTATAATTATAAATTTCATTTATTTTTATTTAAATACCTTAATTATATAAAATATGTGATTTGAATAAAAACAAAATCAATTTGTTGATGTTAAAAATCGTGTAATAGTAAAGACCAACAATTGAAGAAATTAACAGTTCATGTCTCAAACTTAACCATTGGACTTTTTTAACAAAATCCACTTTAATTATTGAGAAAATGATATTTGCATCACAAACTATCTCGTCTTAAAAAAAAATTCAATTTAAACTGTGCTAACAAAAATATAAATACCCTTTTATTTATTTTATTCTTAGTTTTCAGAGTAAATAAAACTTTTCAATCCAATAAATGTATTTTAACGAAGAGAATTAATCAAATACAACAAATTATATTTTTAGAATTTAATTAAATAGAGTATAATGGAAGTATTACTAATAAAAAAAAGAGAATAATAATATTATTATTGTTGTTGACAGATATTTCAAAGTTTATTTTGTTACATAATTAATCAATACTACAAATAAAACTTTCATCATCGGTTCTGAAGCAGACGTTGTATCGGCGACGTTGAAAGTTAAGTATGATTTTTTTAAATTAATAATTTTTATTTATTTACAACCCCTTTAACCCCTTTATTTATCTAGGGGTCTCCCCTAGTTTATTAATTTGTTAAGAGAATTGTCATTGGCAAGATTCGAACTCAGTACCTTAGAGTTGGAGGCCGATACTCCAACCACTAAACTACTAGAATTTTTTGATAATAACTTACAAATAAATTATATTTATATACAAATAAATATATATCCGTGTAAATATATAAATATATAAATACAAATATATTTATATATTTTGATATATTTATATAGTTATATATTTATATGTTGGATGTGAGGGTACACTCGAAGGTGAAAGTGTGTGTCGAGTGGGTTTTCAAAATTTGATGCTAAATTTGTGAGCAGGTATCTTTATATGAGTTTGTAATTTAATAACATAATATAATCTTTATAATTTTATTTATATAATGATATAAAATAAAATTGGGAAACGTGTCATTCGCTCTCAAGTGAAAAATACCAATTTTCGCTCAAGCGAGGCTTGAGTGAGTGAATTTCCGTGAGCTTTAACATATTTTCACTCAAGCAAGAGTCAATCTCACTTTCACCCTTGATAAAAAAATACCAATATAATTTATTTGTAAGTTATTATCAAAAAATTGCAATAGTTTAGTGGTTAAGATATTAACTTTCAACTTTAAAATACTGGGTTCAAATGTCTGTCAGTGACAATTCATTAACTTAAGTGAATTTTTGGCTGAAAAAAAAAATAAAAATATTTTCCAAAAAATATATACAAATAAATATATATTTACATGGATATATATTTATTTTTATATAAATATAATTTATTTGTAAATTATTATCGAGAAAATTCTAGTAGCTTAGTGGTTGGAGTATCAGTCTCCAATTCTAAAGTACTCGAGTTCGAATCCTGTCAATAAATCCTGTCAATAACAATTTTCAAATTTAAGTGAGTTTTTGGGTGAAGAAAAAAAAGAAGAAAGACTTTTAACGTCGATTTAAATGGGAACCTTTTCAATGAAAATATATAACTGATATTTTTTAAAAACTAAAAATTGTTTATATAGTGATGTAAAAGAAACTAGATTATGTATAAATAAATTTAAATAAAAAAGTGCATATAACTTTTCATTTTTATTTATTTATTCATATATTACTTTTATTTTACGAAACTTAAAAAAAAAAAAACATGTATGTCACTCATGACTTTAATAGAGAATATCACTTAATATAGTGAAATTTAAAAGTAGTGAGAATGGAGTTTCATGCATAGAACGTGGAGGGTGATTATGTATCCACACGTAACCAAGAACTTTTTATAATACAATATTATTATTCCATTAAAGCAATTTTTTGGTGTCATTTTACGCGTCCTTTTGTTTGTTGGTTCTACATAACAAAGAATCCCTTTATCACTTATTCTTTACCAAACTAATCAGTTTTTTCAACCTAATTTAATCCACAAACTAAAGTTTAGATTATACTATAACGTGCTTTTTAGAATAGTTAAATAAGACAAAGGGCGGTTTGGTTGTATTTATGTTTGGCCTCAATAATCAATTAAGCTACGAATTTATCTTAGATACATAGAAGAAATTAAAGAAGCACACAAAACTTGAATCTGGTTTATTAATTTAAATTATTTTCATTAAAAAATGATTTTTTTTTCTTATATTTGACGAGTCAACCTAGCAACCTCTATGAAACTACCTGTACGTACGTAACCTTCCAATGAGGAATAAATCAACTCGTTTTTCAACACTTTAAAAATGAAGTTAGAATAAATGAAACCTATTTTCCCACTCCTATAGGAAGAATCTATAACCTCACAAATGGTGAAAAGTAAAGAGAAGAAGAAAAAAGAAAGACAACCTTGTAGAGACATAGATTAGAACCTAGGTCCTAAACAAGTTGCATGCATGTATAGTATAGTTCATGGCAGGTAGAAGATAAGATGAAATTAATAATGAGAAAGTATAGATATATATGAAAAAACTAGCACCATGTGGCTATATATATATTGTTGACTTTGGTATGTGATATTAAAAAGGCTATTCATCTAAGGTGGTAGATGTTCAGAGAAGAGAAGCTAAGGATCATGCAGAGAAAATAACCAAAGGAAATGAAATCTGTATGATAATATATATGATATCATTTTGGATATGGGGATCTATAGGAACAGGTATTTGGATTCACTAGGTACAAAATCTACTTTAAAAAGTTATATATATTCAATTATCCAATATTAAATTTCTTAGAATTTTGGTTAATTAATAAATAGGATTGAGAACAAAGTTACATAAAAATTTATATATATACATTTTTCTATTTAAAAAAAATTAAACTATGTTATTTTAAATAATTTTTTTAAATCAGAACAATAAGTATGTTTATTTTGTGATATATAAATTTGTTCGAAGCACTTCATTATTAACATTATGAAAGTTTATTGAGTATGTAGAAAACTAAGATTTAAATTAGGTTAGATGTTAAATTAGTACCACCTTTATAATTAAAATGCTTGGTTTAATAAATTTATTCATTTATTTTAAAGTGAAAATATCTTACTTAACTATTTTTATGAAAACAATTCATTTCTAAATGTTTTATTTTATATTTTTATCTAATTTTATTTTAATAAATTTATACATAAATTAAGATGTGAATTTATTCAGATAAAATAGTTAATTAACGAGTATTAATATAGGGGTTGTGTTACTGATACATATTTATGGACATAACAATAAGTGGAAATTATTTTAAAATGGGAGTATTGCATATAACAAATTTTCTTATACATATTTAGAGATTATACAAATAAGTTAGAAGTATAAAATATTTAATAATATGAATTTTATGGCAATAAGTTTCAATATAATAAGTTAGAATAATTATCAATAATACTATTGTTTTTATAAAATTGAAAATGTCTATGATATTCTTTGTTTCGGTATATTACAATATTTGATCAGAATATAATCATATTTAGTATCAATATATTATTTAATTAAAAACAAATGTTATTGTATATGCAAGATTGTTTCTGACGTGAAACTGATTTAAAGAAGAATATGGTGATGACATAGATGGATAAACATAGAGAAGATGGTGAGGAGTTGGAAAATAGAAAAAAAAAAAAAAACACGTGAAGGGAATTTACAATGGGAATATATATGCTGTAACACTGAACACATAGACGTAGTGTAGTTGTTAGCCACAGTTCATTCTGGCACACTGATGCTAACAACTCCTCATCTATGAAAAGGGTCCCCTACTACTACTACTCACTTCTTCACATATCTCAAAATAAGTAACTTGTCACTTCCTTCGTGCATAAGAGGGAAGTGCCATCTTGTGTTCAATGCATAATCATCCCAAAATCATTCATTCTTCTTGCAAAACCTTCTATCTTTTCTTTCATCACTGTCACAACTCTTTAACTATGTCTTTTAAATATAAACACCGTAAATATGAGAACACATGATTTTGGGAGACGAGATTCTGCTTCCATGATAACAATCACTCACTATAAATAATCCATCCATGCACTCACATCAACCTAATTCTTATCATTAAAACCTCACACTTCCACTGTGCCATAGAGACCAACACCAACATTGCTAATTTTTATAACATTTTAAGTCCTTGTTTAGATTTTTACATGAAAGAAATTTTATTTTACAATACCACCTTGCATCCACCTGAGAAAAAGGTTTGAAAATTGAAACGTGTGACTTTGTCTTACGTATACATAAACTTTTAGAATACATTACAATTGTACGACCCTTGTTTTTATTTTCTGTTCCGTTCTACTTCTCGCGTCTTCACGTCAATTTTTCGCGTCCTAGTAAGAATTTCTTTCAATAAGAAGAATGTAACAGGGGAGTCCATGACATCACGTGACATAGGCTCCCCTGTCTGTGACCGTTGGCGGTGACGTGTCACGCAGATGCAATAGAAGAAAAAATGGTTTGAAAACATGCGTGCGTGGTGGAAGGAGTGACAATGACCAAAACGACCTCGGCAACTTCACCGTGATGGCAATCTCTCTGAAAAGTGTGCGTATTAGGATTGGGGTAAGAGGATTTGACGCGGGGGTATTTTGGTAATTGAGGGAATCTCCCCGTGGCTGTTTTCCATTGGTCTCACTACTGGTGTAGAATGATTTGACTGCGCGCAGAGGCTGGGGATGAGGGATCTTGACGTCACAAAAGGCATGCATGAATAGGGTCCGTCTGATGGAGATGGGAATGATGCGATCCATTGCACGGACTACGAGGCCCTCTCTGCTGCATCACACGCACCATCTTGGACCCTACTTAGCGTGCTACGCTATGCTACGCTACGTATTTCTTTATTTATAAAAATAATGTAAATAATAATAATAATTTTGTAAAATTAATTAATTGTTAAAATAAAAAAATTGTACTTACTAGAATCTTGCTTGCATTTTCATTTATCCCCAGGAGTGATGATGTCAGTGGAATTTTTACTCTATCTTCTCGATTTATTCCACGGTGATTTTGACAACAAATAAAGTTACATGACACCGCCAAAATAAAGAGATTAAAATTGCATAAAAAAAAAGTTATATTAGAAAGTAAAAGTTACAAATTTTACTAAATCATGGTCCTTCTCCCTCATTTCCATCATGCCTAATATTACGTCGATAAGACATAGTAATATTTGCAATAACAATTACGATACAATAACATTATAATTAAAGTTATTATAAAAATAAATTTAAAAGAAATAATCTTCATTTAAAATATTTATTTTCATCGAGTCTAACAATCAAATTATTACACGAACATGAAAAAAAAAGTTAGAATGCGTGTGTGGGAGAGAGAGAGAGAGAGAGGCGTGAAGTGGTAGTGATGATGAGGATGAATTAATGCAAAAAGATTGTGAAATTGGAAAAAAAGTTCATCTGGGAGTGTTCCGAGAATTGCGATGAGTTCCAAAACGTGTTGTCGAGGTTCGTATCATCACCCAATTTAATGCTTTCTTCTTCCATATCTCACTCTTCTTCCTTTTCCTGGTTCCTGCCATTTCAGGCATCCATGCATGCCACCATCGTTCACTTTCACTCTCTTCCTTAATTTCCCTCTCAATCCCTAAATATCTTAATTCATCAACATTTACTTATATTTAATACGACATAAATAAAAATTAAAGCTTTTTTTTTCCATCAAATTTGAAACCATGAATTAAAAATATATTATTATTTACGAATAAAGGATAATAAAATGTTGTACATATTCTCGTATATCTTATCTCTTCTAATAATACTTAGGATGAAGAACGATAATAGAAAAGAGAATATTCTATTTTAATAAAGAGAATATTCATAAGTTGAGTAAAATTTTTGTAATTTTTAATTTTATATATTATTTTTATAATTAATTTTATTATAATAAAAAAATATTTTTTTATTAATTAGGTGGATCGTGAGTTGATCTGTTCTATCCAACGAGATTAGTCCGACAAATTGGTAGGTTTGACGACGAAGTTAAAATGGACCGAAAAGACCATCCCACCCTATTATAGTATAACAGACTAACACGTCGAATCTGATCCGTTTTATTATCTTACTTCTAATGATAATATAAGTATTTTTTTTTAAATAAAATCAAGGAGAGAAAATTTACCTTTCATATATAATATCTTATAACAGAAATAAAATTAATATAATTTTTTATAACAGAAATAAAATTAATATAATTTTATTTATAGATAAAACATTGATTTTTACAGTAAAATTTTGAAGTAGAGTCTCGTTACATTTATAATATCTTTTAGTGTTATAATAGGATATTATATTTCAATAATTTATATATAATCTTTTTTAAATTTATTATAATGGATGAAAATTTTAAAAGAAACAATCTCTTATAAAAAATTATCTATATATAAAATATATAAATATAAATTTTCTCCACCTAATTAATAAATATAAATATAAATTTTCTCCGCCTAATTAATAAGATTGAATTATATATATTATTATTTTTTATATAATATTAGAGTTGATCATATAATATAGAATATATAATATGAAAATAAATATAAATCTTAATTAATATTTTGTAGAATTAAATTAAATATTTTTAATTTTTAATACTTTTTATTATTTTTTACTATAAGAATTTAATTTAATTATTATTTTAGATTATTACCTAATAAAAAAACTATTAACTCTTACTGACATCCAGAGTTTATAGTTTGTTAAAAATTTGAAAATTATAACTTTAATAGAATGATTAAGGTTGTTAATAACACGTTTTCGAACATGTTATATAATTTAAATTATTATATAAAATAATTTCGCATAAGCTTATCTATGATAATTAAAATTTCAGTTGTTATAGGTTAAACCGTTAAAACATTATTTTTAGTTAATTCTTACTTTTCTTTTTAGTGTCTGACTTTTTTTTTTTTTCGTTTTGTTACAGATTTCTACTCAATTAACTAAATCAGAGACCAATATAATTGTATTAATGTGATTATCGTTAATATGATGAATGTAAAATGTATGAAATTACGTAGAAAGAATAAAATGGTGGGTCACTTAAAAGAACAACTTAGGATTTAAACCAATTTTCATGTTTTATTTTCAAGCTAAAATGTTAAAATCTGAATACAAGTGGACCAATGCACATACTATGAATGAATCTTGCAAAGGAATTGCAAAATTGAGTTCAGCCACCAAAATTATTGAGTGAGACTTGAGAGCACAGGCTGAATGCTTCAAATGGATGCATGAATGGTTTTTGGAAGTTGAATACTTTGATCCCAAAGGCAAAGATAAGTGCAAATAAAACTGAGAAACCAGACACCACATTTGCAACTACAAGAAAATCATGTTCAAACCGAAAATAACTCTTCACAAATTCTTCAACTCTTTCACCATTCTCAAGTTTGTGCATGTCATCTCCATATTGGGAAGCCACCAATTCTTACAAGGTCCATGCAACAGGGCAAATCCAGTAGCACCATCTCCACCATATGGGTATTCTCTGCATAAATGGTGATAACTATTTTCCAATTGAATTGTAGTAGTACTAGTGAAATAGCATATGGTAAGCTGAATACATTCTGCACCTCCCTCCCTGTAGAAGACTGTTCTCTCAATTGCTACTTTAGGCTGCACTGAGGCACCATTTACAACCCCAATGAAGGTAACACCAGCATGCATTAAACCCATTGCATCGAAAAGATCTTGCTCCTTCCTCCTGCAAATTTTTATTTCAAATGAGATTCTTTTTAAATCCATTTTGACCCTATGAAGTGTTGACTTAAGTTACTGTGATCCAATTATGTGTTGCCGTCTAGTTAAAAGTGTTGACTTAAGTGATGATTACTTTATAAGTCATGTATAAAGGTAAGTTTCAATTAACATTATAAGCCACTAGTTTTCAGCAATGAAGTTAACTCAAGAATCTAAATCAAATGACAAGATTATATATGAATTTTTGGTACAATCGTGTATTTTTTTTTTTTTTTCACAAAACAGAATTGTTTTCAATTTGGATTCAAATCAATCATGAACACCCATATAAGATCTTTGTAGTCCATCAGGTTAGAGAGTCTCAATTACTACTTAAACACAGTACATTTACGTTGTTTGATCCATGTAGTCGATCCCAGTTAGTGGGATAAGACATTTTCCTTATTGAGAAATATTATGAAATTTGAATCTAGTTTTAAATCATATTCATGCCTCTAATTTCAAAAGGAAAATTGTCCTAAAGCTACCTTTCTAGTTGCTATATCAAGTTGTTCACAATATCCTGATATGCGAGCAAATGATTCTTGCTTTGTCGGGTATCAGGATATTGTGATGCTTCCTTCGATGTATCCACTTGTTTTCCATCCAGATAGAACATCCATTAGAGTAGTCTTGCCAGCACCACTTACACCCATCAGAACTGTTAGCACCCCTGGCCTAAAAACAAGCACCACTAATACCTTTCAGAAGTTCAAGACGATCCTCAATTCCTTGATTTTTCATTTCCTACAATCAAGATAACATAGTAAAAAAAGGTTGAAAAAAAAAAGTTTTAAGAAGTCTTACACACTCTGTTATTGGTAACATTTATACAGGTAAATTCACTAAAAAATAATGAGAGAGGTTCATTTAAAAAGGTCTATTTTTCATAAATTTCAGCTAAATAAAGAGTGTATTAGAGAGTATATTGCTTGCCCTTTTGCTATTTTTCAAAGGTTAAACTAATTATTTGGTCCTACAAATGATACTTTGGAATTTGTCTATCTATAAAAATGAAAACTTGTTTTAGTCCTCATACAGCCTTATTAGTAAAGATAGGTATGTGCTGTTACTACGCATCTAAAGTTTTATATAAAAAAGTTTGAAGTTTTAATCCTTACCCTTAGGTGTTACCTTCAAGGACTAAATGAATATTTTTACCTTTTAAATATAACTAATAACATATAAACAGAAAAGTTAATTGATATATATCTTAAACATAGGTACCTGTTGCATGTCTACAGAATATCTTATCTCATCAAAAGTGAGGATAGAGGTTGAAAGGGAAGAACCATGCTTCTCCTTCCCTATCACTTGCTTAGTTGTTTTTACCAACTTCTCCAGAAAAGGATGGGGTTGCTTCTTTTTCCATCTTTATATCTGTTTATCATCATATTATGTTATGGCTTGAATTCCGTACTTAAAGTTAAAGCAGACCCTATAACTTAGAACAAGGACTCACCAGAGGACCTCTTTGTTGTTGGTAACTGAAAGAGCTCTTCACCCATTGAAGCTTTTCTCTCGAACAACTTCTCTTGGGATAAACCTGCTTGATCCTTTCTGAATGCTAAGCAGCATATTCAATTATCAGAATGCATTGGTGAAGAGAAAAGAAGTCCCACTAAAGATCACAGCTCAAATATAGTACTTACGACTGAGATATTGCAAAGCCAGGGTGAAGAGAAAGTTGAACAGAAAAACATTACTAATCAAAGCTCCTATTCCAATCCAATAACAATAAGCTTGAGGGAAAAATCCACGAGATTTCAGTATCAACACTCCCAATGTTTCATTGGAATTAGGACTAACCTGCAAAACATCTCAGCCAATTATCTTATATAAATATCTTTTTCCTCAGCTCATTGTTCTTCATAAAACTTTTTCACAACAAAAAACAAAGGGGATTGATTACCTTTCTCCAACTACGCCCAAGAAATTCATTCACAGCTATAGCATTCTGTCCATACATCATTGGTGAGGACCAGTAACCATACAGAAACCATTTGTGCACAGCCTCTAATGCAGAATAAAAGGTTCATAATGAGAAAGGTTCATTATGTTTTCCAACTTTGAAGTTATATTACCATTTTCTTACCTCTTAAAAAATCCTCCCAAAACTGTAATTGTAAGCAGTGCAAATGTGCCAGCAGTGTTTGCCACGACAATATCCCTTCCTACTTCAGCCATCAACCGAAACAGTGCTGATGCCATCTGGTTAATGCAAAAGATTACCAAGTACTGTTTTAGAAACTTGCCAATAAGATTCTCATTAGATTTCAAAAATAAGTGAGAAATAGCATAGTTGAGTGAGGGCAATTGATTTAGGCCTTATTTGTTCATTGTTTTTGAAAAAAGTTTTCGATTTTCTAAAATTTATTTGTCCCTCAAGCACTTGGGAAAATGTTTGTCTCTTAAGCACACTTCTGTTTTCTAGAAGTTTGTCTCATGAGTACTTGAACAAAACTTTTGGTTTCTAAGGCACTTGTTTTAGATAAAAATTTCAAAACCTAGAAGATCTTGGATGAGAAATTGATTTCTAAGTAATGTCCAATTGTTTTCTTTCTAAAACAAAAATGTAGTAAGAGAATCAAACTAGTCCTTAATTTCGTCTTGCCTGACAATATTTGGATCATAGCCAATGGCATAATAGGAGATGCATTCCCAGATGGAAACTTCTGCAAGGGTTAATGGTATTTTGAGGATCCATGGTGGAAGAGAATAAGCCCATTAAGGATACAAAAGGTGGTCTCTTTTCTTGTAAAAGACATAAAGTTTCATGATGGCCATATTCAGTTCTGATATTCCGTTGAACATTGCAACTGTGACAGTGAAGAATAGAGCTCCCACGTAACTTTCTGCATCTGCCTTGGTATAAAGGTTCATCTTGGTTCGGAGAAACAATGTTGTTGTCAAGATAGCTAAATAAGTAAGCTGAAAAGGCAGAACAAGACATGCCCAAGGGCTCATAAAACAAACAAAAAAGAAGAAAATATGAGATGAAACAGTGTATTCAACCTTGCATTCATGCATAAATAAATTGAACTACATTTTTGGACTTCAAATGTAGTTTTAAATTAGATTATGTAAATGAAATTAGTGACTGAATGTTACTCCCTTGTGTGGCTTTGAATATGTAGACAAAGGAAATCGCTTCATGAGCAAAAATTCTCTGCTAGCACAAGCCCTCAACAACTCCTTGTTAACACCATACTTCTTTGTGGTCAATGCATTTGGATGGCATTTAGACTTGTCAAAAGGATTTTCCATTTCATTTTCAAGTTGTTTACCCATGTGAAATGACTGAAAAGCTTCCGCAAAATTCTTGATAATGACAAAGCTGTACTGTTCATCTGTATGTGCCCAATATTGCCGTTGATCTTTTCTTGATGTCACGTATTCAGGAGATCAAAATTTACTGTCTTTATAAAAGCAAAGGGAAAATTTTGAAAAGAAGACTAAGAAAATCACACTACTTCTTGTAAGAAGTCAGCAACTCCTTTTTCTTTCAGGACACTTTGAAACCCATTGATTAAAAAAAAAACATTGATTTTATTATAATATAATACTTTTAAAAAATATTTTAAATTTAAATAGGAATAATAAATTTAATACTTTAAATATTCAAATATGAGATACAATTCCAAATTATTACTTTTATTATAAAAATATAATACTTTTGATTTAATTATTACATTATTATTTAATTTTAAAATAATTTCAAACACACCTTAATTTAGTAACATAAATAGATAAATTAAAATAATTTATTCACAAACATTTTTCTATAAAGAATTACGTCATTATTTGTTGTACTTAAAAAATATATAATCTTTTATTTTTATTAGTAACATTATGTATAACTTTGGGGAAAAAATAAATAATATTTAAGATACTTAATTTTTTCACATCTAATTAAAGGTAACCATTATTAGAACGGATGTTGTAGGATATTAATATCTTTCCTACACATAATTGACTCTCGGATTAAACTTTTGTTTTGCATACCACTTTTTTTTTTCTTTTTGATATGTTTCTTAAGATAAATATTGGAGGCGACTCTATTTTTTTTTTTTTCATTTAGAAATTTATTTTTGTCATTCGAGTCATGATTTTGGTTGCAATAGATGACAACTCTATTAAGGACTGAGTTATGTCTATTATAATTAGATATGAAAAGTTAAATTTATTATTATTATTATTTCAATTTATTTAATCCTTTTTTTCCTAGCTTTATTTATGTATTTTATATGATTTTATCTTGTTTATTTCTATTTCACCTTTTTATTGTAAATATCTTTGCTTTAATAAAATCCTAGGATAGAAGACATGTTTTTATTGTGCATTTTGTTGCTTGTTTTTGCAGGTAATAGTTTAGGACTAGCCCCTTCATACATTACACTCACATTTTTGCACACTTATGAATGAGGTCCTATACTCGGACTTGAGTGCAACTTAGGGACTAAAAAACAATTAGTGGTATCATTTTATATTCACTTCCAATTTGTAGTCACAACCGAGATGTGTACTAAGCTCTAGAGACCAAGAGAGCTTTAGATATTTGACTACCTTTTAATAATACCCACTTGCTAGAAAAAACCATTAGACTTATATAAGATACATAACAATACCTAGTAGGACACTATAGGACATCTTTATCCACACGTACCACTTTTTTTGCAATACTTTCTCATGTTACATATTTTGCATTAAGATCATAATAATTTCTCAACAATTCTTTTTAATATCATATTTGCATGCATCATTTTATTCGTCATACCCATTCATTCTTATTTTTGCATTAAATAAGTGTATTAGAGAATAGTAAAAATTAAAGTTTGATTGAAAGTATAGTTGAAAAAACAAAGGATCAAGTTATGAGATAAAATTGACAGTTTTTGTGAAAATTAAAATGTCTGATGTTCAATGTTTACAACTTTATAGTAGTTTGGTGAGAGAAGTTAAGTGTGTAGCTTTCATAAAGAAATATGCGAATATGTTAGATTTATTAGAGCTCAATGTGCGAGTGAAGGTCATCTCAACATTAACACAATTTTATGATCACCCCTTAAGGTGTTTTACCTTTTGTGACTTCCAATTGACACCCACATTGGAAGAATATAAGTGAATTTTAGGGATATCATTGAAAGATAACAAACCTTACAACTATCAAGGGCATCATTCTTCTATGAAGGCAATAACATTTTTGTTAAGAGTTTAAGAGAAAGAGTTAGAAAAGAGGAAATTAAATAGAAATGGCATAGATGGGTTTCCAATAAGTTATCTAGTGAAAATGATGAAAACCTTATTTGAAGAGAATGATTGGGTTGCCTTTATTGGAGTTTTGACTCTCACTATCTATGAAATCGTTCTCTTTCTACATCTTGGTGTTTACATAAATTTTTCAGCTATAGATGCGTTTTTGGCTCTCCAAAATAGAAGAGAAAATCCAATACTAGTTGTCCTAGTAGATATATATTGTGCTCTCAATGATTTTTTGTTTTAAAAATGGCAGAAAAAAGTTAGTATGTGTTTACCATTACTCTAGGTGTGAATCACCATCCATGTGTTCTTTAACAAATACAACTCGTCATCCCCTATTGTAGATGTCAAATGGAGTTATGTGAAAGTTAAAATAAGTAAGGAATGGACAAAATTTTAGAAGATCTCAGTGAAAAGTCTATCCGTTGGTATCTAAGTTGTAACAAAGTGGATGAAGTCATTTATCCGTGTGGAAGTTTTTTAATGTACCACTCATAGGGACTAAAGGGTGTATCAATTATAATTCATCTTTGGCTCTAAGATAGTTAGGCTATCCTACGTTGAGTGCTCCGACAAAAGAATCAATTACAACCTTTGCGTGTGAGATGAATAAATTGAGTCCATAAATGCTTAGAAGAGTGAAACATGTTTGGGAAAAGATTGTCAGAAAAGGAAAAGAATTAGGAGAAAGGAGTTATGGTTTTAGCGAGATTTACTGTCTTTGGCTTAAAGAGAGAGTTCAACAAGTCAAGTTTCCCTTTCATAGTTCTACTCCAATTATTAAAGAAGCCCATGTGCAAACTCAGGCAGATATGGAAGAGTTTGAAGAGTTAAATGTTGCATTTGCAAAGTCTGACAAAGAAAGGAAAATATTAGAAAAAGAAAAGTTTCACTATAAGTTGAAGATAGCGCAACACAAAAATTCTCAAAAAAAAAAGGTCACTTGAAGAGGCAACGATAAAGTCAAAGCTGAAGAAAAATGAAATCTAAAAATTGAATATTATTTCAGAGTAGCAAATAGGGAGAAGAGAGGAATGAAACATTAACAAATAACAACAAGCAATTAAAAGAAGAATTGAAGAATGCTAAGATTATTGAAAGGAAGATGAGGAAATTATTTGAAGACATCCAACAATAATTGGAAGGAATGGTGACTGAATATGAAAATCGGTTAGAGACTAAAAGACGATATAGACAACAAGCCGAACAGGTAACAATAACTCATGAGAATGAATAGAGAGAGTAAAGGCAAAATATACAAAATCTGGTCAGATGCATTGAAGGAAAGAAAATATTCATCAAGGAACTCATGACACAAATTTTATTATGAAAAGATGAACTTGTGAAATCTACAAATAATGATCATATCAAAGAGCTAAAGAATGATCACATGTTTTGGAAGGATCGTTATCTAAAGTTAGCATGGATGACCTACCAAGTAATCACAAATATCCCAAGAAATCTTAAAGAAGCTGACGAAGTGAGAAATCCACTCTCTACTCCTGTTAAAGTCTGTAATTTTCTTGAATATTATAAAAATTTATTAGAAAAGTTGAAACATATGGCTATAGTTAATGAAGATGTGAAAGTTTGGACTAATGAACTTCTCATTAAATATTATTGAAATTTTCTTATCTACTTTTGAATTATAAATCATGGATTTTCAATACTTGTGATCAATTTTAAATTTTACAATTTTCCAACAATATAATTGCTAAAGTAAAAAAAAAAAAACTATACTGGAACTTTCTCATTTCATGCAATGCTCACATTAAATAAATGTTGCTAATATCAAAATTCAACAGAGAGATGTTAGGGTTAAACATAAAGTATAAGACTTAATCGATTAAGGTTTGTTAAGTTTTAAAGAGGCAAGTCTAAATGTTGCTAATAATCCACTTCCAGGTCATAGAGGTGCAACAATGAATGCCATTGATGAAGTTGGAAGATGTTAAAGCCCCGTGAAAGTTATCTTTTCAGAATTATACAAATTGAAGTTCATTGAAAGTCAAACCTTTAAAGAAGAAGCATGTGATTCTCATTTTAAGGGCAAACAATCAGTTAATGGATGTGACGAGTTTAAACAATTGTTGCAAAGATTAATGGACTCGAAGATAAGTTCCTCCTTTAAGAGTGTTGAATATAGAGGAAATAAAGTTTGAGATTAATCTTCCTTGTGTATAAACCACACATAGAGTAATCTATTTATAATAGAGAAAGGCAGTGGAGGATCTTGACCAATATGTCTAGGGGGCCAATTATAAAAAAAATTATATAATAATAAATAAAAATAAGATATTTATTTAAAATTGTACCCTTCGTTATTTTAAATGTTTGAACTCATCAATAATGGAATCAGAACTAAATTTTTCAAATATTTCTTTCTCAATATAAATGATCATATTATCTGCAAGAATTTCATCTTCCAGTCTATTTCGTAGTCTTGTTTTGATAATCTTCATTTCAGAAAATGATCTCTCAGTTGTAGCTGTAGAAACAGGAAAAGTTAAAATAAGACGAATTAAACGATCTATTAAGTAAAATGTACCTGACTTACTTGTTTTTGTCAAAGATTGACATAATTCAAGCATGGTAGACAAATTCTTCAAATCTGGATGGTTAGGAGCATCAAGTATAAAATGATGAAGTTGAAATTTTAAATTAATCTTCTTTTGTTCACTAAAATCCAAAGGATAAAATTTGTTCACAAGTGTGCATATATGATCAATGTTAAAATTTTTATAAACATCATTTGGAATTAAAGCATTGCTTAAAGTTAAAAGTTCCATTGTTTTCTCACTAAATCTATTATTTAATTCTTGTATTTGTTTATCCACTGTAATAAAAATTATGTTCATCCTAAAATGATGTTTTATTGTAATACAATCTTTTTGATGTCGAGAACGACCATGACGTGCTACATATGTAGAATTAAAATTAGGAATATCAATGTCATGTTGCTCACAAAACAATATCACATCTTTCAACAAATCTTGCCAACCCTCCTCTCTTAATTTTTGAATCAAAATTTT